TGATGCACGTGAACTCATGATCGCTCCACAAAACCAAGTATTATATGTACACTATTTTTTAGAATTGATATAATATTATTCAGTGGTACCCACGTTTCAAAAAGGTTGAATGGTTCACTTGGTTAGATGTTAAGTTATTTACCTAGAGAAATAAGGATCAATTCAATATCTCAATTCAATGCAGATGTATGCATTTATTTGAGCAGTAAACAATATATTCAGTTGAATTCACAAAACCTGTCGTAAATGAGACTCTTGGACTTTCCTACAAAGCATTTCCATATAGAGCTGTAAATAGAAGGGACCATATGCAAGTCAATAAATATAGAAATCTTGCTTTAGCAGGAAAGAATCCCAGGGAACAGCTAAAGTTCAAGAAAGGGTACAAATTCTGTTAATATATGCCAGAAATAATGTTCGAGTCCGTCATGTCTGTTGACTACAAATTTAACTATTTTTACTGTCCCAATTTATGTGAATGTATTTAATTGATCGAAAAACAGAACAGCTAAAGTTCAAGAAAGGGTACAAATTCTGTTAATATATGCCAGAAATAATGTTCGAGTCCGTCATGTCTGTTGACTACAAATTTAACTATTTTTACCGTCCCAATTTATGTGAATGTATTTAATTGATCGAAAAACAAACTTTTGAAATTTATGATTTATAACAAGAGTGTCACAAAAATTGAGACGAGTGGACTACATATTTGACAAAACCAGGCCTAAGAGTAGCATATAATTATAGAATGAGCAAAGCTACTTCTGAAACAGATGTGTGATACAAAATAACTTCATGTGGTCCTCTGCTGAATTTTATCACACTCACACCCACACCCCACTGTACATTTGCATATTGCAGATGTGTCAACAAATCATACAATCTCTTGAAACTTTAGTGGTTTTTCATATATATATATATAGGGTTTAGTTTCAGCGGCGGTTCAAAATTTTTTACCTTTTGGGATTTAAATTTGGAATCTCAAGGTGGATTTTGAATTCCCGAAATCACTGAGTCCTAACAAGGGATTCAAAATCTTTATATATACAAAAAAAATATTACATTATATATACAATATAATTTTTTATTAAGGGAATTCAGATGAACACCCTCACCCCTAGATACGCCCATATTCAGTTAAATACATTGCAACAGGCTCCATCTATATCTGCTTTGTTTAGTTAGACTGTGTTAGGTAGAAGAAACCTTGGAGAAAAATACTACTATATATCAATAATAAGGAGTCGCTATTGTTAGAGAGTGTTTTATCCCCAGGTCTCAATGTGAAATTTTTTGATGCGAATCTGGATTAGTCGGATTTCAAAACAAATATCGAACATAAAAAAAAAAAAAAACCTGCATGGTTTATATCTGTTTCTGTTATGATGGACCAGGATCGCAAATAGGACATGTTTGGACCCAGGGGCAGAATTAAGTTAAAATAGGGTTCAATTGATTTCCTAGAATATGTACTGCCTTCCAATGAGACTATACAATAATACAAATTAAAGCAGCAGGAAGGTTGGAATATATCAAATCTGTCTTTAAAGAATAGCTCCGCACCTTACTCATTGTGCAATGACAGCGTTTCTATCGAAAAATTACATTGTTTGAATAGGGTAAAAATGAATTTGTTTGTTATCTTAAGCTTTTAAATTCGCGCTCTACATAAGTAACTTTTTTTTTTATGACAAAGGAATCCCATAGCTGTTATTTTTTGGGCGCAAAATAAAACCCCCACTCCTATGCAATAGCTCGCAAACCACAGAGGTATCCCGCACTGGGCTTGATCGACCCAGGCCAGAAGGAAAACCTCTTCCTTTCACTGGCAAGGAACTTCGAACTTGAGACCTTCAACATGAAAGTTTCAAGCCCAAACCACTGGATCATTCGGGTTAAATGTCAAAACAAGTTCAAAAATAGTGACAAGGAAAAGTTTCTCGTATGATAAGCACTTTTACTTTCAATTATAAGATTATGAATTCAAATCACCGTGAAAATAAAAAGGACGAAAGCTATTCTGAGAAGAGGTAAAAAAAAGTAATTGCATTAGACCATAGGTAAAAGTCACAAATATGATATTCTATGAGTTTTTCAAAATCACGTGTATAATTTATTTATTTTTAGTTTCGTTAGGACCTACTGCAACCCATCTCAAACTTTATGTCACATGAGAATTCATTTTTTGAGAAACAAAAGGAGCTTTTAATTCTTGATATTTGTGAGGTGGAACAAACAAATGAAAGTAGACAAATTAAATATAGTACATTAAACTCGTGATTATTTGATATACTTTTCGTCCACTTTTACTTATTCATTTATATTAAAATTCAATATTTATTTTTATGTAATCAATTAAACAATTAAAATAGATAATATTTTATACATTTCATATGTATAAGAATGATAGATAAGAAATATGAGAATATTGAGATGATGTGTTCAAGTTCATGACGGCTCTGTACGTAAAGTGTGTTTCCTTAGTAAGTGATTCAATTCTTCCTTATTTTTGGTTTAAGAAAGTGATTCAATTATGATATAAAATGTACTTTTTTGTTTAAAGTTTCCACATCACATATTTAAAAGAGGAAATTTCGCAAATAGCCACTAAAAATAATTTAATTAGGCTTCATAGCTATGGTTTGTTAATTATTATCCGTAGCTACATGTTAGAGGGAGGAGAGACGCGAGCGAAACTAGGAGAGGGAGGAGAGAGGCAAGCGAGAGAGGGCAAAGAGTGGAGAGAGGTGAATTATATTTGTATATATGTCAGATAATTGTGTGTGTATATATATAACTGGTATACATATGTATTTGTATGTCTGACAAGCGAGATTGGGAGAGGCGAGCGAGAGAGGGCAGAGAGAAGAGAGACGCACGTAATTATAGCTAAAAAGAGGCTGCGAGTGGTAATTAATTCAAACTATAGCTATGTTACCTAATTAACTAGTATATGTTTGCTTATCCGCGTAATTTCTCCCATTTAAAATCATATAATTAAGAGACATTTTAATACATTTGACATATCAATCATTTTAGACCATTAGATTTAAAAAAATTATTCACTTACTTAAATTAGGTTGTAGACATTGAAATTTATAAGACTTTACCCGACGTGTTCAATTCTAGTTGGGACCCTAGTTCATGTCTATATAAACAATACTATATTATATATATGCCTATAGGCTATAGCTTATATAAAGGATATTATATATCTTTAAAGAGTATCTCGAATATCTCATAAACTCTTGGGATATTGATAAAGAGATCAAGATATGTCCGACTCTTTCTTGATAATCAAATACTTCAAGAAGATCCACAAATCTTTTCAAAGAGATCAAATTCAAATCATTATAGTTCGAGAGATACGTCACTAACGGAAAAATCTTAGTAAAGAATCAATGAAGGAATAAAATCATACTCATATCGTTTTATCAATAATATTCTTATTTTTTCAGATTTTATTCGTGGTTAACTTATATTTCATATATATATATATTAGTTTTCTTTTGGTATAATAATTGACTTAAGAAACAAACAAAATGAGGGAAAGTGCGAAGAACCTGTGTTGTTCAAACTTATTCGTGAATATGACCTTTGCCCCTTTGCCAACCTGCCCGACTCAACTTCTCTTTGTCTCTCCTTTCTCTCTTCACTTATTCCTAAATTACCCCCCATTTCAACTTCTTTTTTTTTGTTACTTTTAGAATTTAAATTATATATAATAACACTCTCAATAATTTTTATATTATCCATATTGTTAACATGATATAACAAAGGTTCCTTCTGTTTCAGTTTATATGATGTAGTTTGATTGAGTAAAGTTAATTTTAAAAAAGAAACTTTTAAATTCTGGTCTAAAATAAGTCATAGATTTTGTGTGGCATGAAATAGTCATTAAGGGTAAAATGAGAATTTTATAGTTAAACTGTTATTGAATAGAAAAATGTGTTATTCTTTTTATGACTGACCAAAACGAAAAGTGTCAAATGATTTATTGGAACAAAAAAAATAGTAATTTTACCTTATTTTTTATGATACGTATAGCGTTTTGATGATACAAAATGTATAAAACATTACACTTGCGATAATGTGAAGTGGAGGGCAGGGAAACAAGAGAGATTATATATGATGTAGTCCAAAGTTCAAATCGTTATAGAAATAATTGTGCGATACAACTTACAAGTGTTATATTATACACTTATCATGACTGAAATAATTAATTAAGTGTCATTACATGGAAAAATTGAAGTTATTGAAAGATATTTGGAGGAAAAATGAAAGTTACACAAAGGATTTAAATGACAAACAAAAGTTACTAAAGTATGCCTTTCTCCAAAAAGTTAAATAGCTCTTGCCTACGTACATTACATACATTAGCTTACAAAAAATATTTATTTGGTCCCATGTTAATGTCCCCATCAAATAGCCATCAGTACTCTTAGATGGTAAATATTATAATATTCCTTCTAGTTCGATATAAATAAATCATTCAAAATTTAAAAATGTATTAACTTCTTTTTCTAGAATTATTTTTTATTTAATTTGATTTCAACTATTTTTAAATCTCATTAAGAAGAATTTGGAAAGACTTAAAAGAGTAATAAAGACAAGTTGTCTTTTAATTATTGTCTTTAAATATGGAATGTATCATATCTTAATAATTCTTTTATATTAATTAGAGGAAAATAGTATTTCCAACCAAACACCGTTAGAAAGTGCTTTTTCATCTTTGGCAAAAATGAAATAAAATAAAACTACTTAATTATAAAACGTTAGTAGTAATTTCAAAAAATTCAAAAACAAATTTCGCTGATTACATTTTTAAAACTAATTTATTGGTATATGTCTTTGTAATTACATAAGGGTAGTCATGGAAGTTCCTATCATTTTTGTCAGGTCATGCTCTTCCCATATCTACAATAATTTATGTCCTCTTCTTGTTATTATTAATTGTTTCAAATTATATATCCCCTCCTAACTCCAAAAAAATCAGTACATATATTCTCTTCATTCTTTGTTATCTCCATATCCCAAACCCATAAAAGGAAAAAAAAAATTAATGGCTAGTCATCATGAACTTGAACTATCAAATAATTATAGTGATCGAAGTGATGATGACATGGACGAGGAAGAGCAAGATAACATAGAAGATGAGGAACAAGAAGATGATAATTCTAATGACTACAACATTTGTAGTGGTCGTAGTCGAAGAGGAGGACTAACAAACTTTTTCTCGTGGAAAGTCATAGACCCTAGAGCGCCTTGGGTTCAAGAATGGAATAGAGTATTTTTATTAGTATGCGCCACGGGGCTATTTGTGGATCCTCTTTTTTTCTACGCCCTTTCTATAAGCGAGACTTGCATGTGCCTTTTTATCGACGGTTGGTTCGCGGTAACGGTCACGGTTCTTCGATGCATGACCGATGCGATGCATTTATGGAACATGTGGATACAATTCAAGATGCATAAATTACGTCCTTACGATGGAAAAATGGATGAAAATCGAATTAGTAGTAGTAGTCGAGGTTCTCGACTACATCAAGACCAGAGTTTTCGATGTTTTGTGGCCTTACGATACTTGAAATCCAAGAAGGGTTTCTTTTTCGATCTCTTTGTCATCCTTCCTTTACCTCAGGTGCGTTTGTTGAATATTTTTTATCTAACAGGTTAAATTTTTAGATGTTGATCGATGAAGTATAAGCTAAACACAAAGAATCAAAGAAAATATAAACCTAGATGATTCTTTTGTGGTGTATGTACAATATATTGTGATGATAAATGGTGATGCGTGTTTTGTATTTTAGTATGAAATTGTTAGTAAAAGAAGACAAAGGCATGCATGTCATGGCCGTTGGTTCTTATGCACGCCGTGATAACTTTGCGTTACGGTTCGGTCGAATTCAATAATTTTTTATTAAAATTATTATATTATTTTTAAGACATTCATTAAATATTACTACAAATTTATTACTATTATAACCTCGAGTTATTACTTTTAGGATCCAATAACTTAAAACGATTAGAATCACAAAGCCATAAACTTCAGATTCTGCATCTCGTCTGTTTTTTGTAGAGAAAGAGGAACTCAAACAAATTTGTACGATAATATAATGAGGAGTAGTCTACCTCACAGATATCTCCCAAGTCTATTTTTTTATTTTCTTCTATATATAGCTTCTGAGTCACCAATAGCCCCTTTGGGTTAGATGTTTAAAAGTAGATTATAAACATCAAGTGTTCAAAAATGGTTTTAGGTACTAAATTAGTTTTATAAATAAGCAATTACTATATATATTTGGATAGAAGTAGTGAAATTGATAAAAAGAATTGATAAACATTTAACAAATAGTATTCAATATTTTAAAAAAAAAACCCTACTCCTATAATCTATTTATAACTAAAAAAAAGGGGGGCCCTCTAAAAAAATTTTTACTTGTCCTTTTTTTTTTTTTAATATTATAGAATCAACACTATATAATGAACAGATAAAAGGATGATTTTCAGACTTTATATTTCATATTTTAAATATATATATATGTATGGACAAAAACGGATGCCAAACTCGAATTTGTGATCGTGATGTGTATAAAATGTATCTTGAAGCCGCAAGATTTTAGTTGATACTGCTAGAAATAAAGATTTTCTCACCGTAAATTAGTAGAAAATTTGTGTTATAAAACATAATGTTTTAATTTATTTTTCACCAAATCAGCTAGAAAAATACATAGCGTGAGAAACAAACTCTCATTGATATATTGGAAAGCTTCCTCATAATTACTATTTTTTTTTTCACATTGATTCAATCAAATCGCCGCTGAACATTTTTCAATGAGAAAATAGTGATTTTTAAGTTGTGCGAACACCAACATTATTAGGAGTCGTTTGGTATGAGGTATAAGGTATAATAATCCAGGGATAAAATGCATGATTATTTTCTCCTACGTTTGGTTGGAGATACTCCCTCTGTCCCTAATTACTTGTCCACTTTTGAATTGACACACCTATTAAGAAAGCAATTATTGACATAGTGAGTTTACCATTTTACCCCTATTAATTATGAAGTGGATGGATTAAAAATTCAAGATTTTCAAGAAATTCCATCTTTTTCAAAGTAATTAATTGAGGGTATAATAGGTAAAATTATTTTATCCTTTCTTGATTTGTCAAAATTGACAAGTAATTAGGGACAACTATAAAAGGAAAAGTGGACAAGTAATTATGGACAGAGGGAGTATTATATTAGACAACCCTGGAATATTAATTCCACCATTTATATCTTAGTGATAAGATTAGTTATATATCTCATAAACATGGAGGAATAACTTATCTTAGGATAACTTATTCCAGAATATTTAATTAATAATTAATTACGAGATAACTTGTTCCGAACCAAGCGATCAAAATAAAATTACCTCATTAATTAATAGGACTATCCATATTTTTGACATGTACATTCAGTAGCTTAGTAAATAATATTTATTAATTTTAGAAGTTTGAGGGAATTATTAATTAATAATTTGATATTATTTTGTTGCAGATAGTAATGTGGGTAGGGATTCCAGGTTTACTGGAGAAAGGATATACAACAACAGTGATGACAGTGTTATTAATAATGTTTCTGTTTCAATATCTGCCCAAAATTTATCACTCAGTTTGCCTACTAAGACGCATGCAGAATCTCTCTGGATACATTTTTGGTACTGTTTGGTGGGGAATTGCTCTTAACTTGATTGCTTATTTTGTTGCCTCTCACGTAAGTATTCACTATTTTCATATTCAATTCGTTCATTTTTATTTGTTCAGTATTTTAAAAAATAGATTTTTATTTTTACTTATCATTTTTAACATATCAAGAAAAGATAATTAATATTTTCTTGTTTTATTAGACATAATACATATACATGTTCTTTAATTTGTTCTCATTTGATATTTATATCTTTCGATTTTGGGTGTGCGTGCACAATAGATACTTAAACTTGTATAAAGTTGAATGAGTAGATACACTACATGACAATTTGTATGAGACGCCATGTGTTTACTTGTTCAACTTTATACAAGTTTTAAGTAACTAATATTGTGCATATCCAAAGTTGAAGGACAAACATAAATGTTAATTAACGTCAAGTTAAAAGACACGTTTATGTTTCATACCGAATTGTTACACTCTAAAATATGAGCATATATACAGGCAGTGGGAGCATGTTGGTACTTGCTAGGAATCCAAAGGGCAGCAAAATGTTTGAAACAACAGTGCAGAGTTACAAATGGTTGTAGCCTAAGAATGTTGGCATGTGAAGAGCAAATATTTTATGGAACAAGTAGTTTGGTGAAGCATAAAAGTAGAGTCATATGGGGTGAGACCAAAATTCCAAGATCAACATGTCTAGCCTCTGAACACAATTTTGATTATGGAGTTTATAAATGGACTGTTCAACTTGTCACAAATGAGAATCGTTTCGAGAAAATATTATTTCCCATCTTCTGGGGTCTTATGACTCTCAGGTACGTACGTACATATTTTACTTTATCTCTTTAATTTAAAAGGTGACCCATCACTTCTTGAAAACATGGATTAGCTTTAAGAATTTATCAGTAATTCCTAGCTAATTCATCGCTAAATAGCTTCTGGCTAATTGAATTTTTATATTATCCGTTTCTAATTTATAACTAAATGAGATTAACATAGAATTTTTACTATTTAACTATGGAAAAAAATCTGTCACTAATTTCTTATTTTCGTGTAGTGTGTCTTGTCTAATCTACATAATAAGATACAGTTTTTATACTATTTGATTGACTGATATAAGAGAAAATTTTAGTAAGAAATGAAAGATCACTAATAACTTCCTTCCGTTCATATTATCTGTCTTTTTGAGATTTTTGTACAACTTTAAAAATGAATATTTAGTAGCCCTTAATTAGTCATAGGAGTATTTGTTTTTGATTTCTCTTTTAAACGTTTCACTTAATTATAGCCATTAAAACAATCAGAGGCGGATGTAGCGTTGTCATGACACCGTTTTTATCTTTAAACTCAATATTTTCGATGCAAAATAAATAGTAGTAGGTTGGAAGTCTGACCCCATAAAATAATTTACTTGTCACTGTAGTATAAAATAACAAATCAGAATATTGTATTTAATTATATGATAATTTTACATGCAGTACATTTGGCAATTTAGAGAGCACAACAGATTGGTTGGAAGATGTATTCATAATCATTGTTCTCACTACTGGTCTTCTTCTTGTCACTATGTTGATTGGTAATATCAAGGTAACCTTCCTAAACATGAATCTCAATATAGCTATTGAATTTTCTTGACTTATTTGTGTATTTATAATTTTATATTTTGAATTTCTTTAGTGTAAATTCTGACTCTGTTATTGTCAACATTGACAATAGAGAACATGCAATGTTATTAGGGGTTGTTTGATTGTTGATTATAGTTATGTGCGTAAGGATTGGTTTAGGTATGACCTAGTTATTCCATCTTCTATATATATTGCATAAAATAAAATACATAAATTGACTCAGAACTTGTACTACATGTTTTATTTGTGTAGAATTATAGAATGATGGACAAACATAGTACGTATTATGTTGAATTGTATACCAAGTGCATACGTAAACAATTCACTCCCTAACCAGCAACCAAACAATGTAATGGTGTTGTATATGTTATGGTCATATAATAGTAATTATAATAATGTTGTGGTGAAGGTATTCTTGCATGCAACAACATCAAAGAAACAAGCAATGCAACTAAAAATGAGAAATGTAGAATGGTGGATGAGGAGAAGAAGGTTGCCTCAAGGATTCAAGCAAAGGGTCAGAAATTATGAAAGGCATAGATTTGCAGCAACAAGAGGAGTTGATGAATATGAGATGATAAGCAACCTTCCTGAGGGACTTAGAAGAGACATCAAATATCATCTTTGTTTGGACTTGGTTAGACAGGTAAACTTTTTCTTATTTTCCTTTTTAGTCTGTTTAAAAAAATACTATTTTTTCTGTCTCAATTTATATGACTTACTTTTCGTTTTAGTCAGTTCCAAAAAGAATGACACATTTCTATATTAAGTAATAATTTAATTTTAAAATGCTTATTTTATCCTTAATAAAATGATTTATAGTCACACAAACATCTATCACTTATTTTAGACCACAATTTTCAAGTCTTTCTTTCTTTATTAAGCTCCGTGCCGAGTCAAACTAATTTAATGAGACAGAGGGAGTATCTTTTTTACATTAATTCTAACTTCTCGGAAAAGGGCATTTTTCACTCATTTAGTAACTATAGGGGAATTTTTGGACCAAAGTATTGACTGCAAAGACAATTTTGAACCAAAGTATTGACGGTAAGGGCATTTTTGAGTCAAACAATAAACGGGGGACATTTGGTCATTTCACATAGTTTAAAGGCGTTTTTGGCCATTTCCCCTAAAATTTATAATTTTGTTTTACTTGCTAAATTTTATGTCAAATTAAAATCGGACAAACAAGTTAAAATGGAATGAGGATTAAAACTTAGGAACAAGCTAAGTTATCCTAATTATCCTGGGATAACTTATCCTACCATGTATATGAGATAACTTATCCCAATACTATGGTATACATGGTGGGATAAGTTGTCCCAAACATGGCAACCAAACAAGACACCAATTTTTTTTATCCCAGGACTATTTTTTTATTCCTTGACTATTTATTCTTATCCCTAACACCAAACAATCCAACTTGCTGTACAAGTACGTACCCTTTTCTAGAATTTGATTGGTCAGTGTATTCTTAGTTTAAAGGGACTGATAACACAATGGGCCTAAAATGTGAGATTGATGGTCATTCAATTTTGATTTTATTTAATTCAATTATATTTTGTAACGAAAAAATCGTTCGATTTTATTATAATATTTACGGAATTCATTAAATTATTTTTTGTAATAAAAAAGTCACACAACGGGTATGTTGTTGTGATTCTTAGGCAAAGTTGAATAGAAATAGCATTCTAACTTTCTGTTATATTTGTGCAAAGTAATGTTATTTTTCTTACAAGAAATAGTCTAGTAACTTTGGTGAAATAAAATAAAAATTGAGTGGTCGTTTACGCAATCAACTAAGCTTATCTGGGATAGAATCATTCATATGTAATTGCCCAAACTAATTATTTTTTGCACATATTTATTCAGGTTCCTTTGTTTCAACATATGGATAATTTGGTCCTGGAGAACATATGCGATCGCGTCAAGTCCTTGATTTTCACAAAGGGGGAAACCGTAAGTTTAAATGTCATGTAAACATTCATATTCCTAGTACATGTTGCTTGTAAGAGGTGACAAATATTTCGTAGAATTAGTCAACGTGCCTACAAACTGATCCAAACGCCACGATTTTTTTCTTAAAGATAACAAGAGAAGGTGATCCAGTTCAAAGAATGTTGTTCATAGTGAGAGGCCATCTCCAAAGCAGTCAAGAACTTCGAGATGGTGTCAAAAGTTGTTGCATGTTAGGCCCTGGAAACTTCAGCGGCGACGAACTTCTCTCATGGTAATGTTACAAGTGATTTAAAATATTTCGGAGGAGAGTAGTTTGTGTTTGGCTAATTAATTTGAAAAATTGGTCTAGTAAACTAAGAAGGTAGTGTATACAAGGTTAATTGATGGTCCTATCTGTGTATGACATCGGAATAATCACTATAATAGAATGATAACACCTTTGGCTTCCCAAAAGCTTGGGTAAACAGGCTTTTGTATATTTTGACATGTTTCAAGCCTAAATCTTTTGTGTTTTTCATTCTTTTTTTTCCCCAACAGGTGCCTCCGGAAACCCTTTGTGGAGCGTCTACCGCCTTCCTCCTCATCGCTAGTGACTCTCGAGACCACAGAAGCGTTTGGCCTCGAAGCAGACGATGTCAAGTATGTCACTCAACATTTTCGCTACACATTTGTGAATGAGAAAGTGAAGAGAAGCGCCAGATATTATTCTCCAGGATGGCGAACTTGGGCTGCCGTTGCTATTCAGTTGGCCTGGAGGAGATATAGACACCGGTTGACACTCACATCGTTGTCGTTCATTCGACCAAGAAGACCGTTGTCTCGATCTTCGTCGTTGACAGAAGACAGACTCAGGCTTTATACAGCTTTGCTCACTTCACCAAAGCCTAATCAGGATGATTTTGATTTTTAAGAAAAGCAACAAACAAAGAATTCTCCTGTGGAATGTAACGTTCTTTTCTGTTATGAGAAAGGAACACATCCCCCTCCTTCTATATGTCCTTCGATTGTGGTATGTAGTAACCTCTCCGTTTCAATTTATGTGAATTCATGTTTGATCAGACACGGAGTTTAAGAAAGAAAAGGAGATTCTGATCTATGCAGTCCGTACATTTTGAGGTCATGTAGAACATCTCATATCAAGTGTTGTCTGATTCTATTCTCCATGTGTGCTACTTGTATCTTTTCCCAAATATAATTATTTCTAATCTTAAATAATCTTAAATCTCCACTCATTGTTCTTCTTTACATGAAGCATTGCATTAACCTTCTACACCATCAATCCAAAGAAAGGCAATAATAAAAAGTGTGGATCTGATTTTACATTGCTATTCTGGAAAAAGACGCACTTACATAAACACTCTCTACTGCTTTACTGAATCCACTGCATCAACTTGTTGCCGAGCAAGATACCTCTCCCTCCGCTCTTTCTATAAAGCATATTGAGCAGAAACACATTGTTAGAGGAATGAAGTAAGCCGGGACTTTGAATTATTCATGTCTTTACACAAATAGCAGATACTTACCCATTCATCTACTATTAAACCTTCTCCCACAACTTTTGGACCTGTGTCAACAGGAGGTTTCTTCTCAGCTTCTGTTGCAGCCTCAGCTTGGGCCAGCTGACGTTTTAGTTTATCCAGTGCCTTTAATCATTAAAATAACTTTGGTTGGAGACTGCCCATTAGCACAATGTATAAACAAACAAATATAACATGTTCAACACTTACTGGAGAAGGGCGTTCAGGGTCCAAGAACACCACCTTTAGAGTACGCTCAATACTGACTTTATCCTTTTGTTCATCAAACTGCATAAAACAAACAAATGAGTGCTACACCACTAAGAACTATTACTTCGGATACAGACCAGATATTCGATATAAGGGCAACAGAAATCCCACATTTTAGTTTTGGTTGCGACCTATGATTTACCTCTTACATTACAAAGTTTTCTACCAATAATAGCACCCAGGTCAAATGTAGTCCTGCTGTTGCACCAAGACTACTTACCTAGGAGTAACGCATGATGATGAAGGGAAAAAGGAATCATAGATATCCAGAATGATAAAAACTATGACTGAAAGATGGATTATGTATGAAATTGTTATCCTTCTCATTTTTTGTAATACAGGAGGTGGAAAATTTATATTTCAGAGTTGTATGCAAAAGCAACTAAATATCATTAAGTTCTGAAAAGTTTTCAATCTCGGTAATGCTACTCTCTTCATCATAAAAGAAAATATTAAGATGTTTAGCTGATTAAGCTATTGAGATTAGCAAAGAAACTTGTCAAAAGAAAGCCTCACATCAAGCCTATATGTCAAAGGCTTTTTTCATTGTAGAAATCGCCAACATCAGGTTTTCCTGGAAAAGAACAACAGGAATATGTAGACAGCAGGGAGGAAAAGGTCATGGTTTTGCTACAATTATAAACACATCTCTCTAAAATTTCATCAATGAATTTTCTATTCTGGGAATGAGTTGCTACGAACAAAGCATCTCTTTTCTTGCAACTTAGTAATTCTTTAAGCAAAAGAAGGTACCAGTAAAACATCTTTTCAGCCATCACCTACAGAAAGAAGCCTCTGCAGCAATCAACATTTTTGTAGAACGCCAACAAAAGTGGCTAGAACAACTCCTCAATAAGTGAATGGAAGATGAAGAGAAATCACACCATATGAATATAGCCAGCACCAATTAGCTTTAGATCATTGGTCAAACAGATTTGTCCCTTACTCTCTTAACTAAAGGGCATCAACTGCAGAGCTTGTAACCTCATCTAACAAATTACTAATATATTTAGGGTGTGTTCAGTATGGAGGAAATGAGAAAACGGTTTCCAGTGTTCCCATGTTCGGTTGATCAAATTGTTTTGAAAACATTTTCTATAGGAAAACAAGTTCCTTAAAAATGAGGAAGATGACCTCCCTAATGGAAGTAGGGAAAACAAGTTCCACAAGTGGCATTCCACAAGATTGTGTTCCCCCCATCCTTCAACACACCTCATCTTCATCCCCATGCTCATAGCCCCCATCCCCACTACCCCATATCCCTACCCCCACCCCCACTCTCATAGCATTTGTCTAGATTATATACATACAAATGTTTTTAGGATAATATTTTTAGCTTACATACCGAACATTAGAAAATAAGTAACAAATCCACTTATTTTTCTAGTAAACATTATTCAAGAAATCATTTTCCTTCACACTGAATGCCCTTAATGGAAGTTACAAAGAGACAATCATCTAACAAGATGTCAATGTGCCAGGCTGCCAGCAATTCGTAGAATATTCAGTTGTTAACTTTGATGGAGCTCCCCTATTTTCATTCAAAACATCTGATGAAAATATACTCTATTATTAACTGAAGATGACAAAAGCTTATATTTCTTAATCATTGTTTCTAAAATATCTTTGAGCAAATTGAATTGGATTCTCACCAAAGAAGATACACGGAATAGAAAGGAAAATAAGAAACTTAATGACTTCCAATTTAAAGTATGTTTAAATCCATGATCTACAAAATCGATTCAAGTTTGAAAATTTGCTGTAAGTGAATAACTAATAAACAGGATTCTGTCAGTAACAAGTTCAATGTGTAACAGAAGAAAGTACACATGCATATAAGCCAAGGAACAGTGATGGCACCTAAAGAATTTGTGGTTTAATAGAGAAACTTGCAATTTTTCAAGGCATAGAAGTTTGATTAACTTACCAACTCAGGTACGTAATCAGTTCCTTCTTTCACCTTCAAACTTATGATCTTGAACTTTACTTTGGTCTTTTGATCTATAGGTTTCTCATTGTTCTCAGGTTGTTCAATAAACTTGAAGACTGTCAATCAGATACATGACAAAAAATAAATGGAAGATGTAAAAACAAATATCTGTTTTCCACTCAAAACAAAAAAGGATATTAAATTAATTGAAATAAAAGTGAGGAGAAATTTATACCAGTAGCAATCAAGCTTTCCCCAGGTACAAGAATACCTCCAGGAGGTCGCATGTAGCAGCTCTTTGGTGCAGTAGTTTGAAACTTAAAAATTCAAAAGGAACCAGAAACTTACTTAAAAATTCAAAAAGGAATTAGAATCTTAAACCACTGCTTATTTAATCATCCATATGGATTAATGATTAAGATAACAATACAATATCTTTGAATTGGATTTCGCAAGAAACATCACAAATTTTATAACTTAAGCAAGTTATAAATCAGTAAGCTACTGCATGCAAAAAGTGTTGCAGAAACGGTAAAGCCGGTAAAATATCAATGGCACCGCATACTCAAACTGTGTTTCAACTAAAATAATTTTTTTTTAAATCTGCATTTATTATCAATGCCAAAAAGCTTGAAAGGCAGCAAACACAAGAAATAGCGTGAAATATTTTACCTTGAATGCTACAAAAGATTTGCTTGTGTTCTTAATCTTTATGGCACTCTTCGCCTGCTTTCCCGGTTCATCTTCAGAACACAAAAGTAAAACAGCAACCATCATTCTATAATTGCCAACATAACATAGCTAAAACAGAATTTCATTGCTTCAAACATGAATATAATATTATTTGGTACAAGGCAAAATGTTTTCCTTGATAAAATCATTCTCCAGTGTTCAATTGAGTGATCAATGAAGTGAATTGAGCACCATGAGGTCTCAGGTTCAATTCCCAATAGAGACAAAACACTAGGTGATTTCTTGCCATCTGCACCTATTGCTAGTGGGAGGTGACATATATCTCGTGGAATTAGTCGAGGTGGGCAATCTGGTGAGGTGACAGATACCTCATGGAATTAGTCCAGGTGAGCGCAATCTGGCCCAGACGCCATGGTTATCAAAAAAAAAAAAAAAAACAGAAGTATCTTCCTTTCACTTATGGTCAGAAACCATTTTGCTTTATAAATATCATAACTCCGACTAGATATCACTTGATTTTAAGTTTATAGGTTCTGAATAGATTTTTTGAACATATGAAATGAATATTTTTAACAAAAATACAGAATTTGAGCCCAAATTACTTTTCTTCGTACTATGAATAATTCAAACAATAACGATTTCTTCGAACCTAACGACCTAAAGTGCAATAAAGTAGTATAGGGTTTAGGAGCGATGACTCACAAGGAAAGTAGAGATTGTTAGAAGGATCAAGCCGGAGCCGACGCTTCGCCGGTAATATCGATTTAGTGAAGGGGCAAAGCCACGAGAGTTTCCCGTCGGACTGCTGTCGCTTGCGGTGGTCGGCGGCAGCCATGGTGGAATGCCGATGATAACTTTCAATTTCAGGCCATAAACAAATTTAGGGGAATGAATGTTGTCGTTTAGGTGGAGCTAAAATCTTGACTTTAATTTTTTTTTTTTTTGGGAAGACGTATAAGTCAAAAAAGATGATAATATTATGGACTTTTTTGTACGTTTATCAACTCGTCAAATCAAGTTTTAAAATGTTATTAAATTCCAAAACTGCACATAAGTTAAAGTCACTTAAAAGTTATAAATTATAGGAAAATTGTATAAAATAACAAACTATTAATTCAAATTAAATGTAATAAATATAGTTTGATTTAATTGTACCTCATAGCAAACTGTTGTTATTTCACCTCTCTTCTGATGAATCTTGCTCGTCACTCTCGTTCTCTCCCTCGCCTCTCTCATTTTTTATACAAACACAAGTGTATAAAGTGCGTTTGTGTTTGTATAAAGCGAGAGAAAATTGTATATATACATATATTTTCGTTCCCCTCTCTCCCCTCTCTCAGATCTCGCTCGCCACTCTCCCAAATCTCACTCTCTCACTCGCCTCTCTCACTTTATACAAAAAACGCAAATTGTATAAAATGTGTTTGTGTTTGTATAAAGTGAGAGAAAATTGTATATATACATATATTTTCGTTCCCCTCTCCCAGATCTCGCTCTCTCACTTTATACAAAAACGC